CCCCCGATGTGCACAGCCAGCATGTCCTAGTGCACATTCAGGGGGGTGCCCAGGGAAAAGAAAACGGTAGCCCAAGACCACGCAAGACAACAACAAACTCAAGCCTCCGAACCTAGCAACAGATATTCGCCAGCACCACCAGCAACCCTCCCGTACAAAAACAACCGCCCGCCCAGAACGAGACCATAGTACCCTCGCCATACCCTGAACCCAAACCAGAGGGAACGCGGAGCTAGGATTTTAGGGTTATTCTGCTATATTTGGGGCGTTTCCGAAAACTAGGGGACCCTCAGATAGTACCCCAAATAGTAGGATCCTTATCAGAAGGACCCCCAAAATAAGGTACCCCTAATTTTCGGAAACGCCCATCTCACTATAGTATACTGTGGGTTATTGTATCTATTCTACCTAAACCCTAAACCCTAAACCCTAAACCCTAACACCCCTATAAACCCTAAAACCCTAAACCCTAAACCCTAAACCCTAAACCCCTAAAATCCTAAACCCCTAAAACCCTAAAACCCAAACCCTAGCGCCTGCCGCGTCAGCGCCTTGTGGAGCGCCTGGGGCTCGGCCTCGACCGCGACGGTGCCGGCGTCCTGCGCCAGGGCGCTTTTAGGGTTTAGGGTTTAGGGTTTAGGGTCTTGGGGTTTAGGGTTTTAGGGTTTAGGGTTTAGGGTTTAGGGCGCTTTAAAGTTTGCGGGGTCACTTTAGGGGCTCCTTTTAAGGGCTTTAGGGTTTAGGGTTTAGGGTCTTGGGGTTTAGGGTTTTAGGGTTTAGGTTTTAGGGTTTAGGCTTTAGGGCTCCATCAGGGTTCTATCAGGCAGGGCTCTACAAGGATTGGGTGAGGAGTTTAGGGCTCTTGTAAATCGTTAGGGTACTATAAGGGGTTTAACGGTTCTTTCATGTAAAGGGCTCTAGCAGGGATACTGTAAGGAGATGAGGCTTTAGGGCTTAGGGTTTAGGGTCTGGGTTCTATCTGGGTGCGATGAGAAGTGCCGGACAAAAGGGATACCAAAGGGGTTGCGATAAGGCTTGCTATGATATGAGGCTTGCTATCTGGGTTCTTAGTATACCAGAACCTGTTATGTTAGGTGTGCTCAGAAAAGTTTACTGGATCGTGGTCTTGCGTGGGCTCTACCGGGTTTCACCGCTGTTCCGCAGACTTCCGCAAGCCAAAGAGGTGAAGCAGATTCCTGGCATTGATACAACTGGTTGGGCTTCCCTTGGGATTCGCTGGATGCCAGCACGGAGTATGCTTCAGAAACGCAGGAGATTTAGGGCAGTTCCCGGGTGGGAATCTATACCGAATCAAAAGCACCCTAAAGCAAGGCTATGGCGCCTCGAAGACGTCCAGGAAGATCACAGAACGAAAGAGCCGCGGGAGGGCGGCCTTCACGAAAGACAGACTCGAGGCTATAGGAGCTGCATTTCAGGCTTTCGGAGGGATGGCCCCATGAACAAACATGGCCACACAGAGTCAGCTAAGTGTATCATAAACCACAGAATCCCGAACATGCCCCACGTCAATTAAAGCCCTCTGATTGCCTTGACACCGACAAATCGACAAACACTAACTCCAAAGCCCTAGAACCTGAAAAAGAGCCGCCCCCAATCCTCAAGCAGCAGAGCCCATAAAATCCGAAACCCTAAACCTAAAATCCGAAACCCTGAGCCCTAAAATCCGAAACCCTAAACCCCAAACTCCGAAACCCTTAAACCCCCAAAGCCCCCGGCTCGGCGGTGCCTCGTCCTGGCTTGGCCAGGCCACCCAGAGAAGCCCCTCGAACCAGAGCAGGTTCAGGAAGTAGGCCAAAGGAGCGGCCTAGAGGGTCTGGGGTCTATAGGGGCTTGGGGGTTTAGGGGTTTAGGAGTTTAGGGTCTAGGGTGTAAGGCTTAGGG